AAAAAAAAAAAGAAGATAGTGATAAGCTTCTGTGATCACGCAGGAATGGTGTGGCTGGAAACCTCATCCAGGGAGTTAGCTCTTCAGTCCTTGTTCTTAACCACTCAGCTGTGTGCTGCGGGCAGGAAGGAGGTAGGGTGAGCTCTTATGAACAGACGCTGGAAAAGAATTTGATAAAATTCAGTAGCCATTATGATGATTATATTTAAGAAAAATAGCATTATCAACTAGGCAATGTAGTAGATTTTCATTGTTTATGAAAATCTACTCTTAAATGTCATTCTAAAATAGTGAAATTGAAGCTGGTTCTCTTAAAATCAAGCAAAGGTGAGATGTCCATTGAACTCCATCTGTATTCAGTGTTTTTGTAGGGTCTCGCAAATGAAACATGACATAAAATAAAACAATCATTTAAAACACTTGTAATAGATTCCTCAAGGATATCGCTGCGGCAGTTCTGAACTTCGCTCTTGCACCCCTGATTGTTCTGCCGATCCAGCATCAGGGCCATCAGCATACAAACATAGGGTCACTTTTCCTGATCCCACTTCCTCCTCCAGCGTATCTTTGCTCTTCTTTGCATCAAAATACATTAACGTGGCTGTTATGGGTTTACTGTTCTTCCATCTCTTCCCCCCCATTTACTCTTACTGCACTCCAAGCTCACGTTCATCCTTACCACTTCCACCTAAAATGCTCATACGAAAAGAAGATCACAAAAATAACCTCCGTGCAGTTGAAGCCTGTGGTCAGTTTCATTTTCCACGTGTGGGTGCTGTGGCCCACCACCCAGCTCCCCGCCTCAGGCCCCAAGCACTTATTCCCACAGCCTCCAGGAGTTCTGGCTGCTCACAGCTCACAGCTGAGTCTCTCCCCAGGAATTTCCCAAGGGGCCTCATCCAAGAGGATGCGGGTTGTCCCACATCCCGTGACTGGTCCCTGCGAGGCTACCAAGGCCTGCCATCTTTACCGCAATTCAAGACATTTCTGAATGGCCAGCCCAGCTCCAGACCTCCTTTTGTGTAGGGCTAAGGCCTCTGTTGCAACTGCATTGCTGTATATCTTTTCCATCTGCCCAGTCCTGCATCCCTCATGTATTTGGAATATTGAGGATATATATCATATATCTATATCTACTGACACACATATATATAGGTATATATCGATGAATTTATATATATAATGTATATATAATATGGACTCAATGTGATTCCCCCTTAACAATTAATTATGTGAACTCATCCAAGGCAATTTATAGAGCTCTAACTCATATATTTAATAACTGTATACATAAAGATGAAATATTGATTACAAGTTTTTAAAAACTTCTGTATACATGTAAATGTGCAAGAGAGAGGTAGGGTGGGGAGAGAGAATGTGTTATCTGGTAGATGGTGGAGAAAGGAAAGAAAGAAAAAGAAGTTATCCCTAATAATATGGTATTTCCCCCTTTAGTTAAAATTATAAAGTTCTTCCTATATGTTTGCATAAAGAGAGGCCTGAAATATGGATAATAAAATTTTAATGGTGGTCGGCTTAGAGTGCTGGGATTTTATTTGATTTTTATTTTCTTCTTTATAATTTTACGTATTGTTCAATTTTTTCACAATGAATATGTATTAGTTATATGATCAGGGGAATATGCAATAAGGCTCTGCTCTTGGTGGAAAAATGGACTAACATTGCTCACAAAAGAACATTTTTAAAAATTAACTCTTCCCTCCTCATTCTGAGGCAGTCAGGGCTAACTACAGAAGTGGGGAAAATTAATGTAATTTAATATGTAAGAATATATGATGTGATATGTAATAATATGCACTTAATATATAATATGTAACAATAGGAGCTGCCAGTGCCTGAGGCCAAGCTAAGCTGCTTAAGAAGAAGATTCCAGAAGAACCCAAACCCAGAAAAGGCCAGAGGTGGGTGTGATAGACCAAGGAACCAGCAGGGAGTGATAGGAACTCCTGTGGGGTTGTTGATTAAGAGAAAGTGCTTTATTTGTAAGTCTTATGTTCCAAGGAAACCTTTTATGGGACACTAGAACAATAAAACTAATACAACACAATCTGTTTGGGTGGAAGGAAGATTGAGGGGCCTTGAGGACAGTTCACAATCCTGTCCAATGCCAGTGCAAACTCCTGGAGGCCTTTGCAAAATCCACAGTTTCCTAAGAAGCACCCATCATTCCAGACCACTTCTCCAGAAGACAGCCTTATGGCTGTAGATCCTTTTTGTAGGCCACTGGGGTCCTCACTCACAGATGCCTCAGATTGGCTTTAAAACCTCAGGATGTGGTCAGAAAGAAAAGGAAACCACTGCCAGCAGATCCCTAGTGATGCTCATGATGAATGCCTGTAGGAAGTACTCCTCTTAGTTTGGCTAATACAAGGACCTAAGGAGAGCCCATGACCCAGTGAATTACCCTCTAGCATGTCCCCTTATCATCACTTATAGAATACACATATTTATATGTGAGTATGGAACTGCATATGCATATATATGCACAACAACATTTACTACTTTTTATGAAGTCAAAATACAACATAGAAAACTGAAAGAAATTACGTATCTTGAGCCACTTTAATTACTCCATTTACTAATTTGTACAATGACCAATCACTGCATAATTATCTCATTCTTTCCTTCTTTGGGGGCAGATAAGCCCATTTTCTTTCATTTATACTGAATTTAAAAATTAACATGAGCCCAACAAAAAGCTTAGTAAATCACTGTTCATGACTACAGGATTTATTATAATGAACAACTGGAAACCATCCAAACAGTAAATAGTAGGGGACTGAATAAAGAAATTCTAGTGCATTTCTTTGATAGTATAGGATGTAGATGTAAGACTGATGCTTACTTAGAGTTTATGAACTTCCCCATACCTCACTGAGTACATAAACAGTATGTCAAAAGTCATTAGCTTCTGGCTCCACCTGTTTAAGGAGACTTACCTAGTTATTTCTGAATGTCCTAAGAGAATGGTCTCACGTGCTTCACCAGGAAGTCTGTACTTGAAGCGCTGAAGTGCATCCTCTCTTGGCTTGCTTGCCCCGGCCCTGACTCATTGCTGATGTCCACTACCTCCAAAAGTGCTGTCTTCAGGTTCATGATGCCCACTCACAAGTCTGTCTCAAGACAGCCACCTTTGATGCCTCTGAAACCGCCGTCCTCCTGGGTACCAAAGAAAAACAAGGATGGTGGAACTACCAAGGCCTTGTCATGTTTCTAAAAGAAGTTGGGAATCATCTCTTTCATGAAGTTCCCTCATAAGATCCCCACTTCCAATTTAGCCTAAAGATCTCTTCTCCCTGAAGCTCTGGTGAGGTCCTCAAGATGTGACATTGTCTGTGCCGTCTGCACTCTCACTATTCCCTTCTCCTCAATAAAGGTTCCTTTTTATCTGCAAAGTAACACATGAAAACATATACTTGAGGACTTTCTCCTCCAAACTTTCTCCTCCTTCTCTCAGGAGACACGCCTGAGCCCACCAGTAGTCACTGACCCAGTTTAAGCCCTACCCTCTTCTACAAACACATGTAAAAATGTACCTGTGAACTCCACTAAGTGAAAAGAGCAGGCAAAGGTGTTTTAGGTAATCATGTGTAGGACATTATTTGAACTAGATGTAGAATATGGGAGACTTGTTCTATTCATTTCTTCACTTGCCCATATTCTCAATGATGACCTTTACTTTACCTGCACTTTAGTCATGGGGGAACAATTTTTTTAAAGTATGAAAGATAAAAGTCATGTAATGTATGAATAATAATAGTGCATCGTGTATGCAGTCGGTGCCAGATACCCATCATAGCATCTAATCTTTACAATAAACTTGTGAGATAACTGCTATTATTCTAATTTTATAGATGACCAAGCTGAGATTCAGTAGAATTCCCTAAGATATACAGCAAGTGATAAGGACATCTATTTTTTCTCTGACCTCATCCCTTTTACTGGGAACTTCATAATCCTTTCAGGGAAATTGTTCCTCCCTCCACTGCAACTATATGCTACTAGTGCCATTGAAAATCCTGCCCCTGTGGCCACAGTTAGTTGGTCCAGAGATGAGCATGTGACCTGTGTTGAACCAATCAGACTCTTCTCCTGAGACATTAGAATTGATACAATGAGAAGGAAGCTAGTCCATCTCTAATAGCCAAACTGCGATCTGTGAGGTTCGGGAGCCAAGGAATCCGTGGTCCCTGGCAGGATCAGTGCATCTAATGGAAGGTTGCCAGAATGTTGATAGGGATCAAAAGCACGTTGTAGGAGGAACATTGGAAATGGAACTAATTAATGCAAAGAAAACGAATCTGGGGACTCGTTAATGTTTAAAGTATCTTAAAGACTGCTATGAGGAGAGCGATGTGTTTGTCCTAGGTGCGACCAGGGTAGGTTTAGGGTAAATGGGTGAAACTATAGGAGAAGACATTTGCCTCAGTGTAAGGAGATTTTCCCTCTCATAATTGTCCAGGGGTGGGTTTGGCTGCTTCACAAAGTGAGTTCCAGCAGTGATGGTGTTTAACTATATTTACAGGTGTATTGTGGTGGAGCAGAGAAGACCCAGACACTACTTCTGAACAGAATCCTAAATTTCCTTTGCATTTCTTAGCTTCTATGAATCTATGAAACCCACTAACCACACACACACACACACACACACACACACACATGCACACACACACACACGCACATGCACACACACACACACATGCACACACACACACATGCACACACACAAACAAACACACAACTCCAACATATGAGTAAAGTTTTGTTGTTCAATATTACCAGAGAAGTTTTTGCTATGCTAACTTTAAGGACGTAAATATACACAGATGATGTGCTAGTCAATAGATAAATGGCAAAATATAGATAAGTAAAAGGATAGCTGGGGACCTCTGCACCTTGGAGAACTGGTATTATTAGCTCAGAATCCAGCCATGTGCTCAATTCTCTGAGACTTGTACAGCCGTGACCTCCTCTGCCTTTGAGCCCTCAATACCTGAATACCAAGCTTGGCAACACTTTGCTTTCCCTCAAAAGAATGCACTGTCACTAGGAGAATTAGTGATCAGTGTAGACTTGACTGAAGACGGGAAGAAGGAGAAGGGAGTTTGGGGGGCTTTCCTTGTCCCTGAGGTCCTTCTCTGACTACCCTTTCATGGGTGATTGCTGCCCTGTGCAGTCACTAGCTGCCGCCTTTCTCTTTCCTCCTTGATTTTCAAGAAAGAAATTCAAATGTGTCTCCATCTGTTACATCAGGCAGCTGTCCCTTCCTAGGTAACCTTAGTGGGAGCTAATTCCCAGGTCACTGCATGGCTGGGAGACTGCACTGGGGTCTGGACCCACCTTTATTCTATTGATGAACACACAAAAGGATTCCTTCCCAATAAAGACAATGGCCTACGTATAAGAGAGTTGCAAGAATAAATGCGTACATTAGGCTTCTGCTGAGTATCAACGTGTGGGTAAGCACATGTGCTTGTGGGTAAGCGCAGGTGGCGGGGGAGGGGCTCGCTAAGATTCTCAATGAAGTGCGAAACTGTTTGCAGAAGATCAAGGAGGACATTATGAACTGAACCTGAACTGGCAGCATCTGAGACCTGAGGAGATTTATAACGTTCTAGAGAAGCAATAATCTCTTAATAAAATCGTGAATGATGCCTGGGAGAATTGGGCAGGTGGCAGATAAATGAAAGGAAGGTAAAATTAAAATGTCAAAGGAACAGCGAATGAAATGGAACAAGAATGGTGGTGGGAGGAATTGGAGGAATCTGAAGACATACAAACCCAGGATTTCCACAGAGGAAACAAACCTGAAAATCCATAGCGAATCGGCTGCATTGACCACCCGAGAAGCAAACTTTGCTTCCTACTTTGGGGGAAACTTGACACACTGAGGAATCCGGAGGAGAAACCAAGATGGCAGCGAGTTTGGAGACCTGCTCCTGCCAAGAGCTGAGGTGCCGAGGATGTTGGGCTTGAAACGCCCCAGAGAGTGATGGTCACTGAATCCAAGGCAGGGTAACTTATCAGATGGAGGACAGAGGAGAATTGTGGACCTTCCAGAAACAGAGACAGGAAAGAGGCCTCAGCATCTGGAGAGGTTGGGTGGATGATGAAAACAAGGTGAAAATGACACAGGATGTACTCGGGACAGTGGCACTGCGACTCACTCATGCCCTAGCTGAAATCAGGCAGCAGCTGCTTAGCTCCCGCCCCTTCATCCCTTTAGGAAACCAGCCCTCTGTTCATACATCTTCTGATTTTTCCAGAGAAGCCAGATGAGTAAAATCTATTTCTATGGCTAACAATTAATTTTAAGCATTAAAATTCCAGGCAATAAAACAAAACATCTCAAGGGCCCCAGGCATCTACTATGCAACTTTGATCAGAACTGAGAGACTATACACAGTTAGGACTTTTGTTCAACATAAAGGGACTGATTTCTAATGATTTGAGCTGCTCAAAGTGAACTGGGTTTTAGTGGGGGTAGTGAAGTGAGCTCCCCAATCATTAGCGATGTTGAAGCATGAGGATACTAGATTAAAAATGTCGAGTTTGTATCAGGCCCACTCTTTAAAATGCCTGGACCTGTCCCCAGAGAGCCCGACTCCGTAGGTGTGTGGCAAGGCCTGCCATCAGCATAGTACAAAGCTCCCCAGATGATTCTGATGGGAAGACAAGTGTGCAACATGTTGGATTTGACGACCATCAAGGTCCCGTTCCCACTGAGAACTGCTAGATGTGGAGCAGGGACGAGGCCCAAACCGGAAACGGATAATTAGGAGAATTGATCCAGCATACCCCGACCAGTTTACATTCCCCTGTAATAATATGCATCACTCTGTCTTATTATTTCTCATTTGAGTGATTCTTGGTGACAGGTGTCATGGGATTATGTCTTCAGTCTATGAGACTGTAAGCTCTATACAAGCAGGGGCCTTCTCGGTCTTGTGTACCAAGAGTCCCATGTTCCCCTGAGTCTGGAGTCCCCTCTCCTTCCCCAGATATTTTATGGCTTGTTTCATCCTTTGACTCAGGTCTCTGCTGGAACGCCTTCTCTTCAGAGACAACTCCCTTATTCACCTGCTTTAAAACGGTGGCCTCTGTGGCTCTCTGTCCCTCTATCTGGAATTAGCTCACTGACACTGGCTGCATATTTATTGTTTGTTAGTTTGATGTCTGTTTGTCCTTTAGAACGTCAGATGTTTGACTGCCCCGTTCTCTCTCCCTTGAGCTTAGAATGGTACGCCTGAGACACTCAGCAAATACATGTGGAATCGAAGAACATGCAAAGACACAGAGTTACAAAAGAATCCTGCCAGTCCGTTGAATAGAGGTGACTCCGGTGTCACGGGGCCCAGAGAGTGCGGCTGTGCACAGCAAAGTGCAAAGTGCGGAGAGAGAATGCCGGCGCGGACGCCTGGGTCAGCTATGATTTGCCTTTTAAGCCAGGTAAGGAGATGGGGCATTACTCCGGAGGGATGGGCAGCCGGGAACAGCTCGATCAGCAGGGCTCTCATCTCCTCGGTGCGGAGACCGCAGTTCTTGCTCAGTGTATTCTGGCACTGAAGACTCACGATGCTGCCTTTGTCAGGTTGAAAGTCAGATCTCTTCCAGAGGAGCTTGGGAGAAGTGTCTAAATTCCACCCCTCATGTCATTTGACTCAAAATGCAGAAGCAGTAAGGCTGGCTTGCAAGTGACTCTGGGTGCACAGTTGTCCAGACAGAGGGGCCAAATCCAGTACCATGAACCTGGGCGTGGAGTAAAACGAAGCCCTGCAATGGCCGTTGTTAGCTCTGCCTGTTTCCCAGCTGCAGGCAGACAGGACAGGGGAGGCTTCTGAGCAAACCCAGGGGCTGAGTGGGCAGCCCTCTTGGTTGGCTGTGCCAGTGTGTGCCTGCCCCAACTCTCTCCCCTGATCCTTTGTCTTCTAAGAGCTCAGCCTTCTCAGCTCAGAGCCCTTGGTGACCAGGACAGATGGGGTCTGAGGGTCATCTGCTGCCCCCTAGTCTAGTAACTAGGATTCCTAAGGGAAGCCCCTAATGCCTGGGGACCCTTCAGGAACTGTCATGAGCCTTCCTCATTGATCCCTGCCAGGTCCCACCATGCCCGCAGGAACTCGGCCCAGGCAGCAGTCGTCCTGGCCAGTGCCCTGATCTCTAGCCTGCCTGCTGCCTGCCACAAGACCCCCGTGCACCCCTGTCCACCCCAAACACCATGCCTGCCAGAAAGGAAGCCCCTGACTGGGTCCCGGGGGAGCCCAAGGACTTCTGTGTTCCTCCCCCATTCCCATCCCGCTCTGCTCAGACCCCTTAGAAGGTGACACCAGCCTAGGAGAGCGGTGGAGGCAGATAGGTTGAGGTCAAGACAAGTCAGTATCAAAGGAGCAGCAAGCATGGGACAGGGGCAGTAACAGCAATGCTGACAACATCGCTTCGTATCTCTGCACACATAGTCATTTTCTCAGTGTCCTGGGGGACAGGAAGGCCAAGTGGCAATGTTAGCATTTTACACAAATAGAGACGGGCCGAGACTGAGGCTGGGAGGGCTAAGTGACAGGCTGAAGGCCACCCAGTCAGCTGCTGAGTCAGGACGAGACCCCACGTCTCCTGACTCTAGACCAGCGGGCTTCCCTGTTACAATGCTGACTGTCGGCCTTGGGTCCGCTCTGATGGTCTGGGAAGCTCATCTCTCTTCCACTGATGTATTTTGGAGTTAAAAACCTAACTTTTTTTTAAAAAGATTTTATTGGGGAATTGAGGAAGGGGAAGAATGTTGGGGAATTGGGGAAGGGGAACAGCCAAGTCGTTGTCCTTTAATCTTAGTTGTGGAGGGCGCAGCTAGCTCAGCTCCAAGTCCAGTCATCATCCGGCCGCCCATTGGTGGCTCAGCTTAAGGTGCCGGGTTCAATCTTAGTTGCGGGTGGGTGTAGCCACCATCCCATGAGGGAGTTGAACTGGCCACCTTGTAGGAAAACCTGACTTTTCAAAACCCAGATCTGTGACTTAGGTTCTGAGCGAGTCTTACCTTACTGACCCTCAGTCTCCCTATCTGTAAAACGGGAACTAATCACAACTATCTCATAGGGCTGTGCAAATAAGACAAAATGTTGTACGCCTAAAAGCTTTACTACTAGAATACATGAAATATTGAGTCATATTATTAGAACAAGGATTCCCCAAACCTCTCCTCTTGTCGCGACTAGCTGCCATATGCCCGGCAGCCATACAGACCGTGCGGTGGGGGAGGCATCTTGGCCATGTTTTGCACCGTAAAGGGAATCGAGTGTCAACCTGTAGGACACAGCTTGGTGGCGAGCCAGCAGCACGTCCTTCCTGTGAAGCAAGCACTGAAGAGAAAGTGACTGAACACAAAGGGACAGAGAAGGGCAACCGAAAGAGACAGAGGTGCCGGGAGAACCAGAATCACCTAAGGTGACAGCCAGTCCCAGGAAAGAATTCCCATGATGGGACCACAGAATGTAGGAGCTCGAAGGGATCTCAGAGTAAGGGGTTCAAGGGTGATTATCCAGGCTCCCTCCAGGCTGAGTGTGAGCACGTGCACACGTATCCCTGGTCACATGGAGGAGGTGTCTGTTTTGCCAATTGCAAGCCAGGTGTCCCATCTTCCTTCCTGTGCAGGATTCACCACGGAAAGCTAGATTGGATAATGCAGCTTGAAGGTTTATACGCAGGTCAGGTGGGCCTCCACCCCCACTCCCACCCCCACCTGACACGCCGGTCAGAATGGATGGGACAGGGCCTGGGCAGGGTGCTGGTGCCACCAGGCTGGGTCAGAGTCTGAGGACAAGTTGAGAAAGGAACGCGGGGCATATGCGCCAACTGGGCCTCTGTACATGGTTCCAGCTCAGTTCATACCTACTGGTGTCACTCTGCCCAGTGGGTTCCAATAGCTTCCTCTCTACAGACACAGGCACGTGGTACTAGAGAAGAGGGTGGGGACAGAAGCGTCTTCCTAGGAGGGTAGGAGACTTGGCAGGAGTTTTCTCCCCTTTGCTCTTAGTCGATGCTAAGAAGAGAGAAAAAAAGGGCTCTCACATCAATTCCTGTCTCAGGAATCGGTAGTCCTGTTGGGTCCCCATCTGTAAAATGGAACCATAACAGTGCCTGAGAGTTAGTTGGTGTGAAGTGCGAATGAGTTAAAGCACATAAAGCCCACAGTAAGCACTTAAATGGCACGAGCTGTCATCGTTGCTGCTGTCAACATGGCTTATTTCGTGAACCCACAATGACTGGTTCAAAACGACTGGCTGCCTGGAGGAGGCTGGGAAGCCCCTCAGGGCTCACTTAGCGGGAGACAGTGCCCAGATGCATTCATGACTCCCCGCAGGCTGGGGTGGCACCTGTGCCTGGGACTTGCCAATGCTCCAAAGAGCCATTTTCTCTTGTAGGTGAAAGAACTGAGGTTAGAGGTAGGTAGTGATTTCCTAAGATCAAATACAAAATGAAAGACCTGGAAACAAAACTCGCACCCCCTCTCCAGTCCGGCCTTTTTAGTTTGCTTTTGCTCCCCGAGCTCCTCAGCCAACGGTGGCAGCTGGAGGGAACTGAGAGCAGGAAGGACAAGGCCAGTGGATTCCAGAGTTTTATCCACAACAAGAGGGGACTTCTCTGTTCAAACGCAGGCTCCTCCTGGCAGTCAATTTTAACAGACTTTCCCAGAAACACCGGAGACTATCGTGTTACGTTTGCATTTCCATGTATACTGGAGGATACCCTGGAAATTATCCAGGCCCTCTTATCACATGGACTTCCTGACAAATTGCTTATTTGCTCTGTGGTTTGAGAACATTTTATTTTTGCTGCAGGGGTTCTTGTTTATTTCAGACGCACTGAGCAGCTCTGATGAGCCAGAAATGAACACGCCGCCTCCACGGTGTTCATCGAGCGCCTACTGGGGCTGGAAAGGGCGCCGGGCGCGCCGGGCGCTCTCAAAACTCGCATCTCATTTAAGCCTCATAAAACACCCTGGAGTGGATATCAGTCTCCCTTTTAAGGAAATGAAAGCTTGGAGAAGTTATGAAACTTGCCCAAGGATGTATAGGTAAAAATGTTGGCGTCAGAACTCCAACCCAAACTCATCCACCTCTAAAGACTAAACTATTCCACTCCTATTGCAAGAAGATCAACCCCTTCTTGAGAAAAGAATAAGGTTTGGGTGCTGGAGGGACAGGTGTCATTGAAAATCTGCAGTGCGCCAGCCCCCACGGGCAGCTCTATTTTTTCCTTCAGTGCTCAGAACAGCCCTATTCCTGCCAGTCTCTTGGTCCTCAGGTGAGAAGGGAGGCAACAGCTTCTACCAGTGGCCCAGCACCTTGCAGGCTGCACCAGCTGAAAAGCTGTGGCGTCGGGGCCTCAGCCCAGGCCTCCTGACTCGGAAGAACCATGTGCTTTTCACTGCAGGACGCCACACAGCAGAAATTTCAAGCATGCAATTTGTCGACAGGAAAGGGTGTCATTCGGACTCAGTTACGCCTTCTATGCCTCCTTTGGGGGAGTAGACTTTTGCTGTTTTGCCTGCCTAGTCGTTTTTTGTTTTTTTTTCCCCTAACTTGGCCAGAGTAGTTTTGAGTTCCCTTCAGGATAGGCATGGTGCTCTTCTCTGCTGTGGAGCTCAGGCTCAGTGAGACCATCCATCAAGTTCTCTTACCTTCTCCTCTCCGAGGTGTGGGCATGTGACCCCAGTTCTGCAATCCGTCTCTCTCTCTGGAGTCTGACATTGAAGGAGAGGCTAAAGGCTGGGGAAGAGCTGGAGCTGAAGGGTCCTAATTGGAAAGCCCAGAGAGGCTGTCTGCTGCAGTGCCTGCTTGTTGTCTCAATGCAGTTATTGATAGCATGCCCCTTCACCCCCAGAGTGTCCTGGTTGGGATGATAAATTGCAGCCACCCTGACTCCAGCTCACTTCCCGTAGTCTGGAGCCTTCAGACGGCTGGGTCTACAGCATCCCCTTCCATTATGGAAGCTGACTCCTATCTCTCCAATAAATGACTTTTTGCATAAGTGAATGAAGTCTGTGTCTTGTGGGCAATAATAACAAACACTGGAATTGTGTCCCTTGAGATTATTTACCACCATGACCTTGTGCGGAAGAGGTCCTTCCTAATCAGGTGGCTAGGGTTTTAGGCTAATAACAGTCAGCCTCCTTTCCCAGCGATACCTACCCATGCTTGCTCAAAGGGCTGATGGAAACACGACCCCAGAAACATGGACAGAACTGATTCTCGAAAGCATGGCTTCCCCTCACCTGAGTTGACCCAGTTCAGCTTGGTGCAGAAGCAAAAAACAACCCAGAGTCTGCTTGTGGTACCATCCCTTGAAAGGATCTGCCAGCCTTAGCTGGAGGCAGACTGAATACAATTCATTTCAATCATTTTGGTGAGGCAGGAACTTACCCTCACTGCAACTGATGCCTGTTCTAGCTTTGAATTGGCTTCCCCAGTCTCTGACGCTCACTCAGTCAGTGGACTTACCCCCATGCCTTTATCCACCTCTCTGGTATCTCATGCCAAGAATGGAGATGCCGTGCGATGAAGTGGGACAATGGAGGGATGCTATGGGATTCACTGCTTTGTAACGAACCTACATGCCCCAAAGCAAGAGCATGGCTTTATAAAGGGGTACAGAGGCCTATTGATGGCTGAGAAAGGCCCAAATGAATGGAGGGTTACAGCGTGTTCATGGTTTGAAAGAATTAATACTGTTAAGCCAATATTACATTATTTTCATGCTATTCAAATCAGAATAACAGGTTCTTTTATGGAAATTTCGAGTTGATTTTCCAGTTCACATGGAAATGCAAAGAGCTAAAACATAAGCAAGACAATCTTAAAGAAGAAAAACAAAGTTGGAGGATTTATATTACTTGATACAAATATTTCTTACAAAGCCACATTAATTAAGACAGTGTGCATTGGTGCAAGGGCAGAGAAATATATCAATGGACCAGAGTGGAGTTCAGAAGTGGACTCAGTCAGATAAGGACACTTGATTTATGTAGAGAAGTGCATACTAGACAATCTTTTCAATCAATAGTGCTGCATCAGCTGAAATTCATATGGAAAAATGAATTGGGGCCCTTATTTTGTCCCCTAAATAAACATCAGTTTCATGTTTTTAGGTCTAAATGTAGAAGCTTTAGAAAGGAAAACTTCTAATGAACTCAAAATGGATCATGGACTTAAATGAAAAATACAGAATTATGAAACTTCTAGAAGCAGCCATGGAGAAAACCTGTGTGAACTTGTGTTTAGTGATGAGTTTTTGGATACACCACAAAAATTATTGTAAAATTGAAAAGTTAACTCTATT